TTTCATTTGGAAAGATCGAAAATCAAAGTTTCATGTGAATCCGATATCCCAAGAAGAGACTTATTCTTGCACGTTTTCCGGAAAAGACTACGAGGAAACGACCTAAATTTGTGTTCCACACAATAACAAGCACGACATACTTAGCATAAATCACACAAATCGGATAAGCAAAGAACTTCCTTGTGATATCTGACATCAACAACATATACCCAATATAGTGTTATCATCATAGATGTGCAACATATCGAATATGTAGTCTGAACTACACGGTTGAAATTCCGATATTGAACTCAACGCACTTCTATACCGTTGCTGCACATTACCTAATCGAATTCTATCGAACATCTATTCTCAACAATGCTCATCTCATTCGTCATGAAACCAGTAACCTTTGCATTCGATCCTCATCCAATCGGACATTAGGTTTTTCTTGCAACTTTTATGGCAAAACATCAGTTGCTACCTCTGAAAACTTAGAAAAAATGAGCAAAAAAAAGTCTCTTCCTGAGATATCGAATTAACATGATAACTTTACTATTCCATCTCGAAAGATGGAACACAAAAGTTACATGTCAATCCGATATCCCAAGAAGAGACTAATTCTTACCAGCATCCTCCGATTCATCCCATAACATGTGTCAATAATCATTATGATCCTTTTCATTCCCACAACAACTACAACCATGCAGTTGTTCGTACACAAGATTAGCATTCACCGAGTTCTCTGCATTACATATGCCCTATAGCGTTATCCGGGAAACACCACAAAGAGGCAGCCTAGTTTGATTTCCCAACAAAACAATGATGAGCACATCATCCTTATCTTCTCATTCTTCGGAATCATCCACGTCTATCAACATCTCACAACAGCTAAGTGAAATATATGGCATGTGAAAATAGCCAACCATCTTTCACTGAAGTCTTGGTATCAGTAAGACACTACCACAAACATTAGGAACTTAGAAAAAATGCTCAAAAAAAAATCTCTTCCTGAGATATCGAATCCACACAATAACTTTGCTATTGCATCTCGAAAGATGGAACACCAATGCTACATGTCAATCCGATATCCCAAGAAGAGATTTATTCTTACCCACATCCTCAGATTCATCTGCTGCTACCTATCAACAATCGTTGCGATCCTTTTTCATAGCCCTACAACTATACCGATAGAGTTATTCGTATAGTTTCATCACAAGCAGGTCACAAGATTAACATTACACTTTTTCTCTGCATTACGTAGGCCCTTTCGCGTTATCCGGGAAACACCACGTGGAGGCGGCCTAGCTTGGTTTCCCAAAACAAGAAGAAGAGAAAGAAAAGCTCTGTATTTTCTAGTTCACAAGTTATTTTATTTCAAGAAAAGAAAAACACACACACACAGAAAAAGCTATTTACAATAATATTTACATGGCCACAGTGGGAACCAACCAACTAATAGTCCACCTCAAACGGATTGATGAAGTTATTCGGCTTCGTTATGCCGTACTTGGCCCAATTCGCCTTCTCCACGGCGAGAAAGAGCTCGTGTATCACCCGCTCACTTTCCGCATCCTCGTATCTCTGCTCATCACTACGGAAGTCGTCAGCTTCTTCGTCATCATTATCATAGTATTCATCATATGATTGCCACCGAAGCGAATCATCAGAATCATCCTGATCATCGACGCCAAAAAGAGGCAAGCGATGCCGTTGAGGCCGTCTAATTAAAGAAAAAAGACAAGGAAAATCAAATGCTAAAATGATCAATTGAATATTAATCAAGTCTTACCTATCGACGATGATGATGGGACCATTGTTGTCTTGACGTTTTCCCTTTGTATCCACATCGACTTGGATGTGCACACGACCTTCAGATTTTGCCATCGGTGATGATACTGGTTGTTCGACTAACCGGGGTAACTGGAAGCCCATAAGTCGATGTGAAAATGGCCCCACAAACTAGGATGACAAAAAAGAACATGTTAATCAATTGAAACATGTTTTTCAATTCAATATTGCACTTACTTGTGGGAGTCCATTCCACTTCTTCTCCACAACATTGTTTGTAAGACGTGAAGTCGCCATAATAAGTATATTTATTTATCTAGAATATAAAATGAAACCAATAGATTCTAGTTTACTCGATAAACTTCTAACTTCAAAAAAACTGATCAAACGATCAGAAATATTCGTCTTCGTAACATGAAAGCACATCACGTAAGATACTATTTTTTTCTATCTCGAGGTCCTTTTGCGTTATCCAGGAAACACCACGTGGAGGTGGACCTTCTTTGTTTCCCACTCAATGACAAGAACAACAAGTTTACCATCGTACTCTTCGGAATCATCCGCGTCAATCAACATTTCACAACGAGTACGTGAAATATATGACAAGTGAAAATAGGCAACCGTCTTTCACTGATGTCTTGGTATCGGTAGGGCTGTACCACAATCGTTAGGAACTTAGAAAAAATGCGCAAAAAAAGTCTCTTCCTGAGATATCGAATTCACACAATAACTTTACTATTCCATCTCGAAAGATGAAACATCAAAGTTACATGTGAGTCCG